TTTCTTCGCAGATGATTCTTATTTATTTTTGTGAGGTTCTCTGCAGGAGTGCGAGAATTTAATTGAGGTGCTGAATGACTATGAGGAACTGAGTGGCCAACGCATTAACTTGGAGAAATCAGCGGTGTGCTTTAGCAAGAATATTTCCACGCTAGATCAGGAGTTCTTGGCCGCGATCCTTGGGGTTGGTGCGGTGGGGGTCCACGACAAATATCTGGGACTTCCAACGCTGGTTGCTCGGTCCAAAATGGCCACTTTCAGATATTTGGAGGAATAACACCTAGAGCGTCTTCAGGGGTGGAAGAAAATGACATTGTCGTGGGCTGCGAATGAAACTTTGATTAAGTCATTGCGTTGGCTCTCCCCCTTTATGTTATGTCCTGTTTCTGTCTTCCCCTGGCTCTTTGTCGTCTTTTAGATAGGCATGTGGTCCGCTTTTGGTGGGGTGCTGAGGACGGTAATCCCAAGATTAGGTGGGTATCCTGGCGTAACATGTGCAGGAGTAAGCATGAAGAGGGGATGGGATTTCGCCAGTTCGAGCATTTTAACCAAGCTCTTTTGGCTAAGATAGGCTGGCGTATTCTCAATGAACCTCAATCACTTATTCCGCAGGTTTATAAAGGCAAGTATTTCCCTCGAGGTCTTTCCTGACCGCGACTGCTAGGTCTCGTCCCTCTTGGGGGTGGCAAAGTATCCTTCATGGGAGTTAGTTATTGGAGATTGGTTCGAGATGGCAGGTTGGTAATGGCCAATCGGTCTCCCTCCTTCATTCTAACTGGATCCCTAGGTACCAACTGGATCCCCCATGCTATAATCCGCGGATCTTGCCTGAGGGGGGTGATCCCTTGGTGGCGGAGGTTATTTGTGAGGGGGAAGGGAGGTGGTCTGATGCGAAGCTCAGTCAATGGTTTGACCCGCCCACCTGTAAGGCTATTAAAAAGATTCCTCTCCCGCGTTGGGATGTGCCTGATAGGCTGATTTGGCATTTTACGGCCGACGGGGTTTTCTCGGTTAAATCGGCTTATCATTTGGCTGTCGATTTGGACAGGAGGAGGGGTGGGTGGCGATCCTCGGTTAGCTGGATGGATAAGCCGAGTTGGATTAGAGTTTGGGAGGCGAAGATCCCTCCGAAGTTGAAGGTTTTTGTTTGGAAAATTCTTAATCGGGCTTTGCCGACGATGGAATCGCTTATTGAGAAAAAGGTCCAGGTTCTACCTCGTTGTCCAGTTTGTTGGGATGGCCCGGAGACAATGGAACACCTGAAAAAAGTTCCTTTATTGTCCGGTTGCGCGGGTCTCTGGGATGATTCTAGGTTGGAATACTTGGGGGAGGGTTTGCCTCGACATACTTTTCCTTTGTTTCTCAAACGTCTGTTGGCGTTGATCCACCAACCATCAGTGGTTATGGCTGTTGTTGCCATCTTTTGGAGGATCTGGCGATCTTGGAATTGGGTGGTCTTTGAAGGCAAACAATTTGGGATCCCGGCTCTCATGCGACAGTTTAACCAACAGTATGAGGAATGGGTTGGTCTACCAGCGGATCAAGTGCCTAGGGTACAAATCCCGATGATGCAATTTTCAGCACAAATGGGTGATTCCCATTTGGTTTGCATGTGGGACGGGGCTACTAAGGGTGGGTCGCATTCGGCTGGTGGGATGGTTCTTTTGGACCCTGCGCGGACACTCCTTCTGGCTAGAGGGGTCCAGTTTTCTGAATTGGATGATCCTGTAGTGGTGGAGTTGCTTGTGCTAAGAGAAGCTATTATTTGGTGTGTGGAGCAAGGCTTGTCGGATGTCCGATTTGAGGGCGACACGAAGGTTATTATTGATAAAATTAATCAAGCCGACACATGAGATAGCCGGTTGGGTGCTGTTCTGGAAGAGATTGGTCATTATTTTCGTACTCAGGCTGGTTTTAGTGTGCGTTTTGTAGGTCGGGAGAACAATAGGGTAGCTCATTTGGTAGCTAGGAAAGCCCTCTCTTTGTATTCGACTATGAGTCGCTTCTTTGATTTCCAGACCTTGCTGGTTTCCAGGTGTAACTATCTATTTTTTTATCAATACATGATAACTTTTGACAAAAAAAAACCAATAAGTGAAAAAAGAGTACCAACTAAAAAAAGGATAAACTCTACTAACGCTAACATTAATATATATAACTAAAGTAAATTCTAGACCTAAAATGATAAAATATGAACTAAAAAAAACCCAAAATAAGAATAAATTAATGAACTATGGCAAAAATAATAATTACTTAACTGGAAGAACGGAAAGAACATTAATAATGTAAAAACAAACAAAACTAAGTTATGAAACAACAATTAAAACATACTCCATATTTCACTTTTAACCAAAACATACTATTGAAACACCTTATTCAAAGGTCCTTCAGAGGCACTATATTCCTTTGAATAAAGATAAAAGGATTAAAGGTCCACTAGGGAGCCTATTGTCCTACACTGGATCCAAAGAATTAAATTCCAACTAGTGATGGCAATTTCAACCCGGCCCCGCGGGTATTACCCGACCTGACCCGCAATAGGGCGGGTATTACCCGACCCGCAGTAGCGTGGAACGCATGTGTATCTACTTTCGACCCGCCCTTCCCCGCCCCGTTCTAGACTTATTTTATCTCAATTTCTTACAATATCTATACATATTTCTCCTATTTTGACTTTTCTTCAACTAGTGATCTTTTAACTTGTTAGGCTCAATTATCCATTCTATTATCAATATTTTTCATTTTTAAAGTGTTTTTCCCTACGTTTTATTTTAAAAAGTAAAAACAAAAAATTTGAACATGTAAGAGTGGATCGACCCGCTCCGCTCCTTACCCGTGCAGGTTTTATCAGCCCCGACCCGTAGTAGCGTGGGGCGGGACATGAGAATTCAGGTATCCGCCCCGCCCCATTGCCATCACTAATCCCAGCGAACAAGGGTATGATTTTCCAAGCGTGAAGGCACATAATACCCTTGACAGACCTGGCCGACTCAGAAGAAACCACAGTGTCGTTATAAGCAGCTGATAAGTCCGCACGAGAAAGCAAGGCGGTCGGTCAATAGCTTTTTGCAGCTATTCTGGTGAGAACAGAACATTACGAGGACAATATAGCCACTTATCCAAGTCGTTTTCCTACGCCATTGGGGCTGATCAGATAGCAAACCCAAATGGTTTTCGAAATATTACAAATCGTAGTCACAAGGACAAGATATATACTTGATTGTAACATTTATATTCACAAGGGCTTGCACAACTGCCTGGTGCTAATAGTTGATAAAGCTATCATAGATAAAGGGTTGCAAGTTCATAAGTACCCATCATAACAAGTTCATGATCAACACAAAACTATGCCCTATCTAAGCAATCAGAGACGAAAGGGTTACAAGTTCCTCCATATTTCAAAAGGAAATGCCCTCAGCATTCATCTTAACAAGTATAGAATATTTACATCAACAGGAATCTATGCCTAAACAGGAAACTGTGCCTAACCAAGCGAATATGCCTTGTAAACCAGCAACTCTCCTAAGTAGCCCGTAGAGAACCCACGAGTTTTTCAGAGAGACTTCTAACTCCACCCTATAATTAACAACCAGCCCAAATGCAAAAAACACTATTGAGTGATGGAACAGAATAGTGAACCAAGATTCATAACTGAATTATCAAAGAGATGGATCAGAACATAGGCTTGAAATCTCTCAAAAAGAGATAAAATCGCGCAGTTATATCAACTTCGTTCATTTGGGGAAATTATCATCAATTCCATCTCAAGAACACAACATACCATTCATAAACATGATCGTAATCATAACTTATTTTTTAAAAAAAAAACATACAGATAGCAAAAAACCCATGTTCAAAAGAGCCAACCATGATGAAACAAAGTTGAATAACAGAGAAGGATCAGAACATTGGCTTGAAATCTCTTACAAAGAAATTTAAAATCGCTCAATTTATTCAGGTTCGTTCATTTGGGGAAAGTGTATCACATCCTATCGCAATAACTCAACAAACAAACAATAAAAATCAATTATTTACTGAAAAGAGTTTCGATTGAAGACTTTTGCAATTTAGGAAGAAGCCTCAGTAAGCCAGTCTAATTTGACATCAAGATTGAAACAATTCAGCCGGTAATTCCAACTAAACAAAGAAATCATCATTGGCTTCAAATTCAATTAAAAGAAGAGAAAAAAAATCAAATGTAATCGCCCAAAACGGCTCTGTGAATCGGCTAAGATCAAAGACTCACAGGTTCCTATCAGAAAGCGAAACATTTAGAGAATTTGATATTGGTCCATTCATAGCATCGCCGGTCATGGCAATTATATGCTACCGGCGACGTGGCATGGACCGAGAAACAAAGGATAAAAGGACATGCAAATTGAAGTGAAAAAAGATTAGATTTTCTTTCAAACCCTCAGAGACCCGATCCTAATCAACCACACAGCGGCAGCTCCGCCGAACGGCCGCGAGATCGCTGACCAAAATCCGCAGGACGAAGCAGAGAAGCAAGACGCCCCATTGAACTAATCAATGGAGCCGCCATCCGATCAGGCGGCGGATTAAGAGAGAGACGAAAACGCGGTTGTTCCGACGGCGGAAGGCCCGCCGCTGCTTTTTTATTGTGTCATACGGCTCTACCTATTCAAGGGGTTTTTCCTCACAGGGAAAACTACAAATAAGAAGAGAATAAAGCCAAGGGAAGGAACCTGAAACCCTAATTCAAAGGAATAGGATAAGAATTTTACATCTCTGGAAGATGGTTAGAGATGAGTTAAGCACCAGCTGAGTTTATTAAAGTTCAGAAGAGATGGTTATATAGAGGTTTCTATTGGCGGAAGCGTAACCCTAGTGGTTGACTTGATTGTGATCACTCCGTCAAAATATGGGCCGGGCTTTTCTTTTCGGATGATGAAATGGTTTGGAGTGGGCCTTAGCCCAATCAGCAATGCGATCCAAAAATGTGAGTCACGATAGTGAAAAAGCAAAACGGCAATGATCTGGTGGCATTTCGCTGTGGATTACTACTGCTGCGCTCGCTGGCCGTCTGCTGTGGATTTGAAAAAAATTCTCCAACGGCCGGCCGACGGCTACCTTACTTCGCCGACGAAAGGATCCACGACAATCAGACTTCTCTAGGACCTTGGCAGTCAATTTCGAGAGATAAAACCGTATAGCAGATGGCGATGGGCGGCGACGCCACCTGGGTCAGTAAGAAGCCGCTGCGGCGGATCGGAGGGATGTCGGACGCGCTCTCCATCGCCGCCGATCTAGGCTACTCGGTTGCGCCACCGCCTTCGCAGGTGTTAATCTCCAACTCCTTATGGTTTCCGATGTATTGTTTCCTGTCAATTGCTGCTGAAGGGGGTTTTTTTTTTTCTTCCACGCATGGTGGGTTTGGTTGGTTCATCTTGAGGTTCTGATTGTGATGCTACTCTTTTCAATTGGTGGGGGGGAAATGACAAATTTTCTTTTCTTCCTCGGGACTGCTTTATAATTGCAGCTGAAGAGTGAACATCAACTCCAATTATGTAACTGTTGATGTAGTAGATAAAGGATAATCCTGTTGGAACACGAATCAGTATATAGAGCTACTGAACCCTAGCCGAAAATTTCATTTCCCAGCTCATATTTCAGAGGGTCTACTCATCTGCTTGAGCGTGTTGAGATTGGTTTCATATACAAGCTGTGTGGAGAGATGACAGTGGTTATATTATGCGTGGGTTTGATGAGAGTGCCTTGAGCTCATTTTTTCTCTTCTCTGGCCATAGGAGGAAGTGCAGAACTTGTCAGCATCTAGTGGTGAAAAGGGTGATGATCTGATCAAGGTACTTAGAGAGTTGACAACAGTTCAAAGAAAAATTGCGGATCTTCAGGTCGAACTTCAAGGACGAAAGGTAATTGTACTTCCAACCATTTCCGTTGTTATGGTTCACAAGAATGTGGCTTTGTCTGATGTGAAAATGCTATTCAGGATGACAAGAATGTGGCTCATTTGACACACGTGAGTGAAATGGAGAAGAAGATAGAGACATTGTCGAGGATTACTACCATATTAAAAGATGTCATTCAGAATAAGGTAAAATGTCATGTGATGATTTTACGGTTAACACAGTCCACACTGATGCAGTTGTCCACCTGAATGCTTGGCTACCCATATACTGGAAATCTTTGCTGGAAAAAATTGCAAAACTGCAACGCTCTTAAAAATTGTATGTGAATTAGAAACTGATTTTCGAAATTTATTAACATTAATTGATCAATTACACTTCCTAGTTAGACACCTTTCCTTACAGTGGGATGGTTTATTACATGGCAATTGGCATCTACTTCCCATTTATAATGAGGCTGCTGACTCTAAGCTTTTCTACTGATATTTTCCCTGTAAGCTGTTAAGACTTGAGAGTATGCAAAACATAGATTTATCTATTTTCCTCCAAATGATCTTAACTCCATTTATCATGTGAATCTATCGTTTTGTATAAGTGGTGTTTTAAGTGTTTATTTTATCTAGAACCCTAATTTTAGAAAATGTTGGCAGGATCGTATTATTGCTCGTCTTCAACAACCTTACTCACTTGATTGCATTCCTGTAGAGGCAGAGTATCAGGTTGGTTGTTTCTTCTTATCTTTTATGTTTAGCTGAGCAGGCTATAATCCTTTTTGGATTTGTTCTTTGACTTCATCATGGAGCTGTGCACAGTCGCACTCTTTTCAGTATGTGGGATAAGGATGCCATTAACAATTTTGCGTTGATTTCGTTTCATTTGTTCAACATGATATGCACTGTCAATAAGTTGGTCAATAGACTAAGTACGGAAGTTGTCCATTAATCTGACAAAAACAGTAGCTCTAATAGTTTGCAAACTCCATCCACCATTGACTTCTGCAGAAACAATTTTCAGAATTGCTTATGAAAGCTGCAAGTGACTATGGCCCCTTGACTGCATCTGTCTCCGATTTCCAATGGACTCAAAACTTCAGGGAGTCTCCTTCTGTTTGGGGGGTATGTTCATTATACATTCTTACATCTTGCTCTGATCATCAATAGCTGGGAAGTTTTCCTTGTTCACAATGCCACTTTTACTATGTTCCTAGGAAATGTTGAGGCCAATTCCTGTTGCATTAGCATCATGCACCCGGTTCTTTGAAGCCATGTCAGCAATGAGAGAATCATTTGCCACGCTCCAGGATCTCAGAGTAGGCCACTTGACTGCATCTCCACCTTCAACACCAGCAAATCATTCTTCTTCTTCCCAAATAACCCCTCGAGATTCAGACCTTGTTACCCCTCCAGTTTGGAAAACCGAATCGAGTCTGGATGACTTGGCAATCAAAAGCCTAGGAAAACAACAAGAGCTTCACGGGCAAGTCGATGAACAGATCGAAGCAGACCAAGCTGATTCCTTGAACCATAGGAGACTCTCGTGGCCGCCGTCAGTTAAACAGAATGGTGTTTAGCTGAAACACACTATTCTGGACTTCAAAGTACACATTCACTAACTACTCTACCTTGCTTGAAAGTATTCTATTTATTGAAACCTTTTAGTTTGGGTTGTGCATTGTGATATCCTATTTTCTTTCTTTTTCCTGTATGTATGTATCTTGCCCAATGGTTTTGATCTCCCTTTAAAGCACAGCTGACAGGTGACAGCTCATTCTTTTATTTCTCTTGGTTGAAAGACGAGAGTGATTAGGATTATTTCATGAAACAACCACTTATCTTCATCGAAATGATAATTTCGCCTCTCCTGGCAGCAGAGCCATGGAGTAGGCAAATCAGTAGTACACACAGGAATATATATAGATTTACTCAAATCTTAATTACTTAGGATTCAGGCATGTTCAATGTGATAATGAAGTTGTTTCCTAATGGAATTTCTAACCCGCTGATCTCTACCATCATACTCATACTTCCCCTGTCATCTCTCCCAATGCGCCTCTGTTCCGATGATCTCACCTGTATCTTCGAATCAGCAGAGATCGGGTTCCAGTTAACTCGAACATCGCGTGGCGCCCCACTCCCACCCAATCCTAACACGCTCACCTTCTCAACGATCAAACCTTTACTCAACACAAACTCCCCGTCCTCAACTTCCGACCACAACGTCACATTCCCATGGATCACCGTGGCACGTAACTCGACAAGCGTCGACTCCCCATTCCCTAGTTTCATCTCGACGAGCTCATCGTTGTCGATGAAGATCCTCCCCCTAGCTTCTCCTCCGTCAACAAACGATCCAAAAGGAAATGAGACCACAATGCTAAACGGCGTCGTCCTTGCATCCTTGGTGATCATTCCACCCTGTTGCATCGGCAAAATGGCATTCTGATAGAGATGCACATTGATCACATTCAACGGTGCATCCAATGTGTAGTACTCTCCCTTCGATTCTACACACTCTGACATGTCGAACACGTTGTACCACGATCCGGGAGGGAACAGAGCCTTCACTTGCGTATCCCCCTGCTCGAGCACTGGCGAAATCATGAGGCTGCTGCCTAGCAAGAACTGGGTGCTGATCCCGTAACTTTCTGCATATCCAGGGAACGAGAAGAAGAGCGGCCTAGCAATCGGGGTGCCTGTAGTATGCGCCTCGTAGTTCAACGTGTAGAGAAACGGGAGAAGCCTGTACCTCATCTTCAGAGCATTCCTCGCGGATTCAGCCACCGATTCCCAGAGGTAAAGCTCCTGCCTCGGCGACCAGAGGTTGGCGTGATTCCTCGAGAAAGGGTAGAAAGCTCCCACCTCGATCCAGCGATTGCACAGCTCCTCCATAGACGACGACCAAGCAGGATAGTGCCCGCATATGTCCGACCCAACCATCGGCACTCCGAAGATGCCGAAATTGAGCATCGCAGGTATGGAGTACTTGAGATTGTCCCAATCCCCTGTGTTGTCACCCGTCCAGTGAGCCGCGTAATGCCCGATTCCAACGTAGGTCGATCTCGACAAGATGAACGGTCGTTTCCCTTTGATGCTTGAAAGAGCCTTGTGAGTAGCAATGGCGTGTGAAAGTGCATAAAGGCTGTGTGCATCGTACTCCAACACGCCGTTGTAGTGAAACGCACTAGCGGCAATGGTGTGTAAGCCAATGTACTCTTTCGATCCCATCACGTTGATCTTGTAAGGAGGATCCTCCCACTTCTTCGTCTCGTTGATCTTCCGACAAACGAGGCAACACTCCCAAGAATGGCAGTCGCCAAGTGGGAAATTGCAGAGTCCAGGGCAGAAGTTGGAAGGTTCGTTCATGTCGAGCCACAACCCGTCTATGGGGACCATGTCGTGGAAGCGACGAATTTCGTCCTCCCACCACGAGACGGTCTTTGGGTTGAGGAAGTCCGGGTAATGGACCGGTCCGACCCATAACTTGCCCAAGTATGGTTGTTCGTCGAACTTGATGAACACATCGTCTGCCATGCCTCTCTGGTAGACCTCGTAAGTGGAATTGACGCTGATTCCTGGATTAGTGAGCACGACGTACTTCATTCCCAAACTGTGGATCTTTTCCAGGAAGGATTTGAGCTTGTCGAGAGGATAATTCTCGGGGCTCACGGTGAAGTCCTTATGGTAGTCCATGTGATCGTCGTCGTTCCATATCACGTCTAGAGGAATGTCAGCCTTCATATAATTCTCAATCACTTGTTCGACCACTGAAATGTTTTCGTATCCCCATTTCGACTGGTGGAATCCTGCAATCCAATAATAAAAATAAGTAAATTACAACAAATGGATGTCTGTACGGTTTGGTTAAGAATTGAAACCATTAAAAATTTGGAAATTGAGCTAAATTGAAACCGTACCCGATCACCCAAAACAGAAACAGTACCCGTTAAGGAGACTATTGGTTTTCGGCATTAAAAACCGAAAACCTATCTAGATTGTTTCCTCAAAATCGGAACCAAACCTGTTACGGAGCTTTGTTTTGTAAATCGAAAATCGATAAACCTCTTAACATGTTCGTTTAGGTTAGTATAATCTAAAACCAAAATCCCTCCACCATAATAGTATGATGAATTCTACTTAGACCTATTGGTTCCATTGCACGGATATGAAAGGTAGATTTTGATTTTGATTTTTTTTATTGGTTTTTCGGTTAAACCGAAATCGTTGAAATACAAATCGGCTCGAGATAATAAAAAAAATGTGAAACCTATAAGACACTTATCGGTTCAGATTCAATTAAACCGGAAAACCGGCTCGGTTTTCCCATCCCCCTGATCCCATGAAGGAGACCTTTGTAAAACCCATATAATAATGGCCTAATGTAATATGATGCAGTGTAAAGTGCAAAGAATTCAATACCAAAAGCCCAATAAGGCATGGGAGCAGGCCTGCCAACCAGCCAGCGAAGTGTACTGCTCAACGACATCCAGAGGAGTCGGGCCAGCGAAGAAGTAAAGGTCGAAAACACCCCCAATGACCTTGTACGTCAGCGAATCCCCCTCGTAGAAAACATCCATCCCGTTACTGTTCAACAGCAGAACCCCATGGGCACGGGGCTCCGACCCGTTCGAATTTCGGAGGTCCATGTAAACCGGGTGCGACCCGTACAGCGCCGTGTTCAGAGTGTCGGCGGGCAAGTCCGACGTGTACTGCGTGTACGGCCGATCCCGGCTCGGCGTCAGCCTGAACCCGCCGCCGGGCTGGACGTGATCGCCGAGGCCGTACAGCGACGCCTCCGCCGGCAGCTTGGTGGAGATCTCGAGGTACTGGTCCTTGAACACCATCGGGCCGAACGGGGGCCGGTCGGGTTCGCGATCGGGTCGGGTGTCGAAGAGCGTGTCCCCGTTGGATTTCCGAGTCACGAGAAAGCCGAACGGGTCGGGGGTGTAGCTGAAGACGAGCTCCCCGTACGTTGTCGTGTAGTTGTCGTCTACTACGACGCCGTATTGCTCCACGTTGTTCGCCGACGACGGCGGCGGTACTCGCTCCCTTGGGAGGAGGTCGTACGGAACCTCCCACCGCGGATTTTCCGCGTCTGTAATGTGAACCCGCAACCGATGCTCTGTTTCGGGCCTGTATTTTTGGTACACAAATTAATTAATTCCATTTATGGTGTAGCATGTAGTGTAAAATTAAAATAAACACGAGAAATTAGGGTAATTTAATTAATAGTACTTGATGAAGAGCTGGAGGAGAGGAATGTCGGGGCCGTAGAAATTGTTTGCCTGCTTGACTTGAAGTTGGCCAATTAAACCTCCGTCGGGGGTTTCTTGAATGCTGATTAGACGGTAGCCTTCTCCAACTATGGGAGGGACAATCTCGGTAGAAGACGACGAAGAAGAAGAAGAAGAAAAGGTGGCGAATTGGAGAAAAAGAAAGGAGACGAGAAGCAGAAGAAGAAGTGAGGCCATGTTCATGACTGCTTACTTAGCTTCGTATTATGCTTTGCGCCTTTGCTGCGGCGGGATTATATTAAGAGAAGGGGAGAGACTCATACTCGCATGGTTGTTGTCTTGTTAATTCTCATAAACTCACTAGCTGGATGCGCAAGAATTTGTGACAATAATAGCTACGTTGGGGAGGGAAGGATTTGGAGAGGTGAGATTTTTAATTTTGAATAAATAACTATAGTATCAAAGTTTTGGCTATATGAATGTATTGGTAAAATATGACGTGGTATCCACTAGACATATGTTGAATTGTCATTGACGTGTACGTCGCGATTTTAATATCATTTTGGATTAAACGAAAATAGCTAGATTTGACAAACTTGCATTCAAAATCTGATTGTTTTTTTTTATGTTTTGTAAAAAATGTCTATTATTGTCGCAAAATCGATAGTTTTGACTATGCAAGTAAAAACTTGCCTTTATTTTTAGGTGGGAACCAGAGAGTACTTTTATTGTCTCAAGATCGATGTAACATATATAGATAGGTGGAAACAAACAAGTTATTAGGGTTTACATCATAATAGATCCTGCTTACTTACCGTTATTAATATGAATTTATGGAATCCCCCAGCTACGACCCAAAGACGTAACCTTTGACAGTAACCGTACTTGAAAAATTCTCCATGCAGATTGGCAGTTAGCTAGCTACGTGCTAAGTTCATCTCGTCCTTAATTACATGATCCAGAACAAGTCTACCGGAACTTCTTCTCACTTCATCAATCGTGACTCGTTGAGTCATGGAATAACTCGTGACAAAATGGGGGAAATGCGTGGCGGAAGAATTTCTGACCACAAAAATTATAATAAAGAAATTAGAGATGACAATATGAATGAGATGCGTCAACCTAATTTAATTCATTTCATCCACTAAAATATTTAAATAATTTAATTTATTTGAATACAATTTATTTAATTCAATCAAAATGAATTGATCTCAACCAATGCAATCAAAACATCATTTTAAAACTTAAAATCTTGCAATTTTACGCTTTTAGATCACCAAAACGCTTTCGTTTTCATATAAAATTTTTATTTTGTTGTAGAATTCCATATAAATATTTAGTGTATAAAAAATCGGGCTAAATTGTGCTTAAAAGATTTACGCTTTTACGCTTATAGTTCACTAAATGGGTGTTCTTGTTCAAATGAAATTAATTATAAGAAGTATATTTTAAAGGTAAATCACCAACGATATGGTACATTTGAGATTAAAAGATACATACCAGATACTTGGATGCATTTTTAGTTTCAATAGAGTAATCTAATTCACCAGCTAAGCCCTTTTAAAATTCATTAGCATAGAGGAAAAAGTGGCTTATTGTTAAGATCTATGTTCATGAACTTATTGTTAAGATGCTATGAGTTTCACAACTTTAGACATGAATTTCAAGTATTTATTAATTTATCTAAATTTTGTGCACTCATATTTTACATAGTATATGTCATACTTAACATATTTTTAGATATTTTAGAGCGTGCGTAAAAAACTTACGCTTTTACGCTTTGATTCTACGCTTTACAACTTTACCATTTTTCCACTTCAAGGTAAAATCGCGCTTTTGACTGCATTGATCTAAACCATGGTTCCGGTGCCACTTGGCTTAAGAAATAGGAATTAGAATATTTTTAAAAGCTTTTTAGTTTATTTTGTTAATTAAATTGCCAGTGTTTTTTTTATGTTTTTTAAACATTTGCATAAGGTTGATGGGTTATGTTTAAATTTTTGAGTCTTAGGTGTTCCATAGTAATAAACTCTATTTTGGATTTTTTATTTGCTTGTTGGATTTGAAAAATGAGGGTTTTGGCTAAAAAAAACCTTTTGATTTATGAGGGATTTGTACCATCATGGATTTGAAGAGTCTATTGTTTGCATTATAGATTTGATGATATAATTATGATGGATTTGCTATAAATATAACTAGCCATCAAGGATTTACAAATCTCACCCCAATATGTGGGATTTACAAGTCTGTGGGATCCACGGATTTGGATAAAAAAAGGAAACAAATCCGTGGACCCCACGGATTTAACACCTGACAACAAACAATGGACTTGGCTAAAATCCATCATTGCTTGGGATTTGAGTCCCAAATCCATGACCCAAATCCATCAAGCAAACGACCCCTAAGATGTCGGTTTATTTTCTTTATAAGATGTCGATTTATTAATGATTTTTAACAGTCTAATACCGGTTAAAACAGTAAAGTGTGAACCACTCATTCTATCAGTTCATACTCTGGTTTGGTTTTAACAACATCTGTACATCCACTTGGTTTCCAGATTAGGAATCCTTTGAGGTACTTGACATATCTTGGCATTTGCGCCATGGCTTCGAGGAATGGGACGTTGAGGTGGAGGTTCCGTAGCATTTCCATGAACCCTCCACATTTGTTGTCCAACCTCTCCTTGTATATCTTTGTGGGATAAGGAAGAGGTGGCATATATCCATCCTCCGGCAATGCCTTGCTTGTCACCTTCCTCTCATTCCTCGAGGGCTTCTTCTCTGTTCTTTTCGGGGTGGTCTCTTCCTTGTCGGACTCTTCCTTCTCTATTTCTTCTCCTGTGGCGACCTCCAGGACCACCTTCACACTCCTCAATTGAAGTGCATTCACCCCGGCTTGATCCTTGTGGTTCACCACGGTTTGGGAAGGTAGGGCCCCTTTTGGTCTCTCGGTGAGGATACCTGCAAGGTTGCCGATTTGCACCTCCAAACTTTGAAGGCTCGCTTGATGGCTTCGGAGACCCGCCTCAACCGAGGTAAACTTTGTAGTCGCCACATCCATAAATTGCTCAATCTTCTCAAAATTTTGGCTACTCGTACTCACAAAGCTGTTCACTAGGTCCTCAAGCTTGGATAACTTGTCGGGTTGATGTTGTTGTTGAAACCCTATGGCACCTTGTGGTTGGTACGGTTGTTGAAAGTTTGTTTGCTTATGGAGGCTGATTGCCTATGTTTTTTTTTTAGTTTGATTTAGAAAGATGGTATTTTGAGGCTGATTGCCTATGTTTTATTGTTGGATGATTTAGAACATGAATACATGAGATGACATGGATTTTTGGGTGGTGGGATATTGGCTGTTGCAGCTTGTTTGCTTGCTGCAGCTTGTTATAATTTTGAATTTTCATGTAATGAAGATCTGGGTGCTGGGTGGTGGGAGGGTTACAGCCCCAGATTCTTCCACTTCAGTTCATGTTTTTCGGTTTAAATGAAGTGAGGTATTTTCAGGAACTATTAGCCTTAGGTTTTTTTGTTATGTACAGGGATCTGTGGGTTACCCGTCACCGCCGGGTGGCGGTGATGGTATGCATCATTCCCCCGATTAGCTCACGGGGAAGGGGACGGGGAAACTCGGAAAGGGTAACGGATTGTGAACGAGGGCTATGTCCGTCCCCGATCCGCTCCGTTGCCACCCCTAGATGGACCGAGGTGGGCGGTTGTTTAGCCACCTAAGTGCCTTTCCCGAGAGTGAGTACGGGAAAAACCTTAGTTGCAAAGCCTCGACCGGTACAACATTAATCTTCAAGCTCCCTGCGAGCTACAAGAACCTTTGCACGAGCTCTCTTGGTGACTCGCTCTCATGGCCGCGGAGGAGAGCATTGCTTTGTATCATAGTCACCAGAGCCGGCTTGATCTCGAAATTGTTTTCCGCCACTGGAGAATGTAGGATCGGCGATTGCCTTGGGTCCATGTAGTACCCCATCGTCCTCGAGGGCACCTTCTTCTCCCGCCTCCTCATTCATATGGCGGGCTTGAGCGGCTCCATCTTGCCTTTGGTTCCCCGCCATTTCCTCTTCAATGATGGGCTCAACTTCCACTTCTTCAACTACTTCTCCACTAACACCGGGACCCAATTGTTGTCCCCCTCTTTCAATCCTTCTCCCTGCCTCGGCTAGCTCTCTCTCCCTTGCTAGGAGTCGGAGAGTCCGGTTTATGTCCTCGTCAAGTGGTAGTAAGGGTGTCGGGTTGCTCCGGGTCATGCACCTCCTACACACAATCGGAAAACACCAAGTCTAGCACAAGCAAAGAACACACACACTTGCAACACTGGAAATTAAAAACTAGATTAACAAGCAACAAAATTTTCAGATTAACAGACCGAAAGTCCCCGACAACAGCGCCAAAAACTTGACTCGCTCGAATCTACACTACAATTAAACCCCGATTAGAGCCCAAGTTTTTAAACTCTAATCGGGTGTAGTATAGGGCAAGTATCTATAATTCGACCCGGGCCGGTCCGTCTACCCCTACTTCGATTGTTGAAATCATTATCTAGCGATAAAACTTTGGTTTAAGGGTTTGCCAATTGAAAGGAAAGAAAGCAAAAGTAATTTGGTTTGAAAACTCTTTTTGTGGGAAAGTCACTTGGGTTTCTCTTCCCCCTAAACCGCTACCATGCTACGTGGGTTCGAACGATTGCCTTGGGCAAGCTAATCGTGAACCGCAGAGGAAAGCGTATGTGGTCGGGGACCACAGTCTCGATTGCTAAACCAAGGTGAGGATGAAAGGTTGTGTCACTCGACCCTCTCGGTTTAGACAATCGGTAATCGGCTTACTAATTCCTCACTCAACTCCAAGGTCGGACGGTTTAACCACGATTAATCGACTTGTTCAATTCAATATTGAGGATTACCCTAACTCAACCTAGTTTAGGTGGCTTGGAAAGCGAAATGAAAACCAACTCGGTCGAGTCTCCCTTAAAATGGGGATTTTCCTCTCTAAACTAGGCTAAGTTGGAAAATTAGATTACTAGCACCTAAATGCACAAATTAGGGGGTGCTAAGCACAATTATGCACAACCCTAGGATGCTAAGCACAATTATGCACAACCCTAGGATGCTAAGCACAACATATGCACAACCCCTAAGTTGCTAAGCACAAGAATGCTAAATCATGGTGAAAATACCTCAAACATTAAATTGAGAAATGCCCAATATCAATCATCCAAACCACATACAAGAA